TGGGGAAGAGAATTGACTACAAAGGGTCATGAGGGAGTTTTTGAACTGATAGAAATGTCCTAGACCTCGATTGTCATGTTGGTTACCTGAGTGTATACATCAAAACTGATTAGACGATTAGACTGAACCATTAAAATGAGCAAGTTTTATTGTATGTAAACCATACCTCAATAAGACTTATTTTTTAAAAATCCAACAGGTTAAAACTCACAGGACCCCCTAGAGCCTTTAACATGACATTACGCATTTTATTTAATTATTTATTTATATTTATTTTGAGACAGAGTCTCACTCTGTTGCCCAGGCTAGAGTGTGGTGGCATGAGATTGGCTCACTGCAACCTCCACCTCCCGGGTTCAAGCCATTCTCATGCTTCAGCCTCCCGAGTAGGTGGGACTACAGGCACCCACCATGTCCGGCTCATTTTTGTATTTTTAGTAGAGAGAAGGTTTCTCCATGTTGGCCAGGATGGTCTCGAACTCCTGACTTCAAGTGATCTGCCTGCTTCAGCCTCCCAAAGTGCTGGGATTACAGGCGTGAGCCACCATGCTTGGCCAACATTGTGCATTTTAAATCTTTTGAGGAGGAGCTATAACATCCAAGATTTCCCAAATTCACTTGGCAAATAATTTAATAAAGAATTTTACAAAACACCTATTACAATCTTGGGGAAATGGGTAAAAACAAGCATTAGAGAATTGCCAATATGGATAAAGCCATGCCCTCTTCATTGTTTCCTTTAAAATTCAAGTATCCTTGATACAGGAGCACATTCAGCCTGACACCTTCGTAGGAACTTGCTTAGGAGGTAATTTCTTGCAGACCGGAGGGCCAGGTGTTAGCAGGAGCACACTGAGTGAGGAAGAGGGTACTGGCAAGGGAAGGGGAAGCCAGAACCTGACTGGGCTCCCTGCAAGCTACAGTTACCCATCGTGAGAAGCAGTCTACCAGGTGCCAGGGAAATGAGTCAGAGACGAGTATGGTTCCTGCCCTCCAGGAGCTCAAAGCCTCGCTTACTCTTGTCAGGAGCCATTCTGTCCCAGGATCCTATTCCCATGCTGTTGTCCATGATTTTTCTCTCTGGCTTCTCATTGCCTCTTCCTAGGAGAAGGGGATGATTCTCTGTCACTTGGGTCCTGTACACTCCTGCATACCTCCAGCCAAAGTGGTCACCAGCTCTAACTGGCAGGCTGTCCCCAGACTCACTGATCACCAGAAGGGATCCAGCACTGGCCTGGGGAGTTCTGGTGGGTGGCAGCAAAAGGAGAGTCTTCTACCTCATTTCATCTCAAACCATGTCCAAATTCTCCCTACCACTGGAGGGGCCTGCCCTGTGGCTCTGAGTCATGAGAAAACCAGATACAGGCGAGCAACACAGGGACAGCTGCATGGAACATACCTGCTTTATCAAGTGGACAAAGCCCTGTCCAGCCAGCTCTGCTCCTGCTGCCTGTCTCCCTCCTCCCTCTCTTGTGTCTCCCTGACATGGCCCGCTGACCCTGTCCAGAAACAGCTGTCTCCAGGGAAGCAGAATGCACCTCCAAGATTGGGACCCGCAAACTCTGATTCCAGAACCTGAGCTCTTAATTGCTGCACTACACTCTTAAGTTCCATCCTCCCCCTCACCGAGGAAGGAGGCAGACCCGGGAGTATAACAGACTCTCCTTGCCTCTTTCCATATCCCATGCACCTTGCCATCATCCAGCCACAAAAGATCCCTAAGCTTCCGAGGCTTAGAAACAAAAGTACACAGGAGACTGAGCCAGGAGCGATAACACTGACTTCCCTCCATCTCTAGCTCCCCTGATTTCTCAAGGGATGTGGTTAGAGAGGGTAAACAGAGCCCCAGGACGTTCTCTGAAACACACCAGGTTGAAGCAAACTTTGTCAGGCTGCCCATCACTTTCTACACGTGGTTCTGGGTGAGAGATTGGGCCCGCCTCCCTCCATAGGAGCCCACACAGTCACGCTCACTTCCCTCGGCTCTGTGTCTGCCAGGCCTTGGACCATGACCTAGGCCCACAGTGAGACATATCCATCCCAGACCTCACACACGAGCCGGGAACAAAAAGAATCAGGAATGGCAGAGGGTTTGGGGGCAGGAGCAGCCTCCAGTTTCCGGGGTGGGAGTGCCTCCAGTGGTAGTGAGGAGAAACTGTGGTGTCCTCACCAGGCTGGTTCTGTGACACTGGCAGCAACTGACCTCCTAGTTTTCCTAGATCCTGGTAACTTTCTGAGGCTGGTTCTAGAGCCTCCTTACAATTCTTTCCCTAATATGCTTTAAATCAATTTCACTGCTACTGAGAATGCTGACTCCCATTACGTGCAATACCCATTGCCTCTAAATTAGCAGTTGTCAAACTTTCTGGTCTCAAGAGCCCTTTACATTCTTGTTTTTTTGAGACATAGTCTGGCTCTGTCGCCCAGGCTGGAGGGCAGTGGCGCAATCTCACTGCAACCTCCACCTCCTGGTTTCAAGTGATCCTCCTGCCTCAGCCTCCTGAGTAGCTGGGATTACAGGCATCCACCACCACGCCTGGCTAATTTTTGGTTTTTTAGTAGAGACGGTGTTTCATCATGTTGGCCAGGCTAGTCTCAAACTCCTGACCTAAGGTGATCCACCTGCCTTGGCCTCCCAAAGTGCTGGGATTACAGCCATGAGCCACTGTGCCCAGCCCCCTTTACACTCTTAAAAATTAAGAACCTCAAAGAATTTTGTGTGGATTATATCTATTGATATTTACCATATTTGAAATTAAAACTGAAACATTTTTCAAAGACATTAATTCATTAAAAACAATAAACTTATTGTACCTTAACATAAACATGTAACATGTTAATATAAAGCAGGTGTTTTTATAAAAATAACTATATTTTCAAAAATTTAAAAAACTAGTGAATTGAGAAGCATTGTTTTGTTATTCGCAAATCTCTTCATTGGCTGGCTTAATAGAAGTCAATTGGAGTCATATGTCTGCTTCTCCATTCAATCTGTTTTGATTTCACACATCGTGTAGCCTTTGGATAACTCCACCGTTCGCTCATGACAGAGATTTTTAAAAGACAAGTGTTTTCGCGTTACGATAAAAAATAACCCATGTGAGTTTCCAAACACACTTTAAGAATCGCTACTTGAAACCTTCCAAACTAATTTCAAGGATTGACAAGGCTGCTGAAGATCAGGGCTGAGCTTGTTGAGGAGTCAAATGGCCATGGCACTTTCCTGCTGATGAGAAAGTGGGAACACCCGCATCAAGCAGAAGCAATCACAGCCCATCCCACCAGTTAGTGCCAGGAGGACAGGGCACCAATTCTGTTTTGTTCACTGCTTTATCAGTCGAGCCTGGAACCCCTGGTAGGCACTCAATAAGTATGTGTCGAACAAATGGTTGAAATAAATGCATGAATGTATATATGTGTGTGTATATATGCATGAATATATAAAGCATCTATCAAAAAATTTTAATAGAAAGATAAAAGGAAAGTATAGAGACATTGAGTGAAACACGACATCCTGGAACACCCACCTCCAGAAAAGCAACCAGACAGGTGGCACCTTGATGGCTAGTGCTGTGCCTTGCTCATCCGTTACCCTTGTGGCCCTCAGCTCCTCCCCTTTGTTGGGTAAATGATTACATAGTGAAGAAATGGCTTATTCTTCAGGCACCACTCCTGTCACTTGTGACTACCAGGTGGTTGTAATGCTCAAGGCTATAGAATCTGTGAAGAGGTCAAGAAATTATCTAGTTGTTTCCAATTTCCTTCTTCACCACAGAACCATTATTTCAAATGGAACCCTTACACCACCCACTGCGGGAGAAAGTGGGGTTTTGTCCCAGACGAGGCAGGAAGAGAAGACCAGAGCTGGGTGGAATCCGCCTCTGCCTCATCTTCCCCCTCTCCCCACTAGGCCCAGCCCCATCCCAGGAGCCACTAGCAGCCACAGCCCACCCCAGACACACCCAGGAGGCACACATCCGTGGCAGCCCCTGCTTCCAGTGGGGCTAAGGTTCGACCTCATTCCCAACCCCGGACTCTGTAAGATACCCCTTGTGTCCTTAAACATTTCCCATTTGTTGCTTAAGCCAATTTGAGAAGAGTTTTTGTCACTTGCAGCCAAAGTGGCCTTAATCTAGTTACTGGGCTCTCCCAGGTCCCCTAAGCTCAGCACTCACCCAGATGAGCCCTGCCGGGAGCCTGTAAGCTGAGGATGGAGGAAAAGACAACACTAACCCATGACCCTCTAGCTGACCAGCATGTTCCAGCCTATAGGGCAGGCATCCTTCACATGCGATGAAATCAAAGTGAACCCCCTTACCTTCCTTCCAGCAAACGAAATAGATGGAGAGAATTTACAAAAAGAACACTTTCATTTTTGGCAAGATCTAAATGCAATTATAGCTCAGTAGATCCACGAGAAAATTGACAAGAGCCAATCCTTTGCACAAGGCATGCTCTGATTTCATGCCGTCAAATTATTTTTTAAAGGGCATTAATATCGCAAGCTGATGACTTTTAGCCCTGAGCAAATGATGCATTTTAATGTTTCTTTACACATGGCTCTCAGCCCAAGTGAAGCTGTCTTCGGCAAAGCATTAGCAAACATTTACATTTCAAAACTCAACAGAAGGGTTGTTGTTAGATATTTCTTTTCATTTTTTTCATATATGCCCCGACAGATAAATCATATTTCACGTGTTAAGTGGTGTGTAGCATTCTGTTTCTAACCCCTGGCATATCATTAGAAGATGGTGGCACCTACTTTTCAGGCCTAATATCTAAAGATTGATTTTGAAAGGGAGTAAGAAATACAATGGCATCATCGAACACCGTTACTTTTGTGGCAGGCAGGCTATTTTTGAAATGAGAGTGTGTTTTCAGGTTTCTTTATTCCTCTGCACAAGGGGGGGCGCCAGACATTTGCTGCCTTGTGCTATGTGAGGGTCAGAGCAGGATCATCAGAACAAACAAAGCCCAGTGGTTAATGTTTTGTTTTCCAGGTGGAGCCTAAGCCAAAATGAGCGAAACTAGGGATGCGTGAGGATTAGGATCAATAGCGGGTAGGGGTTCATTTTTCATTTTATAAACTCAAATGGATTCAGAGGTGCAGAAATCAAGGTCTTAAGCATGCAGTCAGGAGCTGCTGCATTGTTGTTTTTTTTTTGTTTTTTTGTTTTTTTGTTTTTTTGAGACGGAGTCTCGCTCTGTCTCCCGGGCTGGAGTGCAGTGGCCGGATCTCAGCTCACTGCAAGCTCCGCCTCCCGGGTTCATGCCATTCTCCTGCCTCAGCCTCCCGAGTAGCTGGGACTACAGGCGCCGCCACCTCGCCCGGCTAGTTTTTTTGTATTTTTTAGTAGAGACGGGGTTTCACCATGTTCGCCAGGATGGTCTCGATCTCCTGACCTCGTGATCCACCCGTCTCGGCCTCCCAAAGTGCTGGGATTACAGGCTTGAGCCACCGCGCCCGGCCGAGCTGCTGCATTGTAAGTCATCTTCCAGTACAGTCTAGACTCTGGAGCAAAGTTTTCAGATGTATCCTAGTGTAATGGTTTGAGCATGCAGATTCTACAGTTGGAAAGGTATGGGTTCAGTGAGACCTTGTAGAAGCTACTGCACCTCTGGAAACTTCCATTTTTCCATCTGTAAAATGGGAATAACAAGTTTACCTGTCACTTTGGCTTACTGTTAAAATCCAAGGTGATAATCCATGCAATGGGGCTGGCATGGCCCCTGGCTCATTTTACCTACACAATAAGAACTGCGGGCTCTTGTCATCCTTTCTTTGTAAAGAAGCTTTCCGTCCAGGCCACTCCATCATCTTCATTGCTTGTGTTTACTTCTCTCCCCAGATCGACTGTGCACCCTCCTGCAAACCTTGCAAGCCCCTCCAAGAAGAATTTGAGCTAATCATTTGGAGAAGAGAAACAATAATGACAACAGTTCTCAAATAGGATTGCAGTCATGGGTTGTACAATTCTATACCTTTACTAAAACTCGCTGAATCATACATGCACAGTGGAGGAATTTTATAGGTGTGTGAAGTATACTTCACTAAAAATGAAAGAATAACCGAAAAGGGAAAGTTGCAAAGATTTGAAGAGATTAGTTGATAAAAATTAAGAAATGGGTTGAAATCCCCCATTCTTGACTGCTCCTCTCGTATCTTTTTTTTTTTGAGACAGAGTCTCGCTCTGTCGCCCAGGCTGGAGTGCAGTGGCGCCATCTCAGCTCACTGCAAGCTCCGCCTTCCAGGTTCACACCATTCTCCTGCCTCAGCCTCCCAAGTGGCTGGGACTACAGGCGCCCGCCACCATGCCTGGCTAATTTTTTGTATTTTTTTTTTTTAAGTAGAGACGGGGTTTCACTGTGTTAGCCAGGATGGTCTCGATCTCCTGACCTCATGATCCACCCACCTCAGCCTCCCAAAGTGCTGGGATTACAGGTGTGAGCCACTGCGCCCGGCCCATATCTTTTATACAAAGGCCACCTGACATGTCTGCTTATCTCTCTTGACCCTTCTGCTCTGTGTCCCTTAGTTGGGACAGCCGATCGAGACTCTTAAAGCAGGAGACCCACCTCATCTTCCTCAACAGAGGAAATCTGCTATCCTGCTCTGGCTTACCTTTCCCTCCCCAGGTGACATCAATGAGAAGGAACTCAGTGGACATGGATGAGCTGGGGAGTTCCATGAAACTCAGACTTGGGTCTTGTTACTGAGTTGGGGGAGAACCATGAGGAATACAAAGTCCATTTTACCCAATGTTCATGTGCCCTGCCCACTTATCTCTCACACACTCATTGCTCTGAAATATTTATCCACCTTGCTTCTTCTTTGGGTGCAAAATGGGCCCTAGTTAGCAGTAATGGAGATGACATTCTCTTGAAGAAAAACATGCCATTTGCTGTGACGTTTGCTGCTCCCATTCTTTTGTGAGCAGCAGACATCTGGATGTGGCTGCAAGATGGCTCTTTGACATCCCCAAGGCATCTTTCAGGTGCAGGGTGTCTCTGCTCCCTCTTCAGTCTCCATCACTGACCCACTGAGGTGGGCGCAAACCAGCTTGTATCAAGGTAACCATAAATGGAGAGAGAAGATAGCCCTCGTAGGTGTTTGCAGAGGACACACCAACCTTCTCACCTTTCTAGAAGCTGCCCATGGCTCTGCTCTCTCTCTACTCTGGAACCCCACTACAGGTCCTCTCTCTTGCATTCAGATTGCACCCTGGACTCCAATTCCCACTTCCCACAACTTTGTTCCTTGCTTGTGTCCTACTGAGTGTTCTCGGGATAAACAAGGTAGTTTCTTGCTGGAGTTTTTCTAACAGCCCCATCAGCAAATTTAACACAAGGCAAAGGAAAATCACCAACCCAACATTGCAAATAGAAAGAGCTAGGAAACTTCTCCCAGATTCTGTCTGTCTATAGTTTCCTTCCCTGCGTGACTTTTTGATGAATGGACACCTATCTCCTATAGACCTCTGTCTGATCATCCTCTTCTCCCTCCAGCCAGGCCTGTCTTCCCAACAAACTTCCTCTCCTCCTAATTGTTAGCGCATAATGAGATTAAGTGTCTAAGGAGTTTCTGGCCCCTGTGCTCTCTAACTAGGTCTTTTCTGCCTTCATTGATACCTCCAGCTCCATTCCTGCATCCCCATTACCCAGAACCCTCTGACTGGGAGGCATGGCAGCCATCTCTGGAATCCCAGGGGCCAGTCCTGCACCCCTGCTGTATTAGTCCATTTTCATGCTGCTGATAAAGACATACCTGAGACTGGGTATTTATAAAGAAAAACAGGTTTAACAGACTCACAGTTCCACATGGCTAGGGAAGCCTGACAATCATGGCAGACAGGGAAAGGAACGGTTTACATGGTGGCAGGCAAGCAGAGAATGAGAACCAAGTGAAAGGGGTTTCTCCTGATAAAACCATCCGATCTCGTGAGAGTTATTCACTACCACGAGAACAGTATGGGGGAAACTGCCCCCATGATGCAATTATCTCTCACTGGGTCCCTCCCACAACACAAGGGAATTATGGGAGCTACAATTCAAGATGAGATTTGGGTGGGGACACAGCCAGACCATAACACCTGCTTTCTCCAAACTGATGACAGCCCCATCTGATGTGCAGGTGTCCAAAACAGCTCCTACCCTTGTTGAGAGTGTGCCCATTACCCCATCACCCAGATGGTGGCAACCAAGGAGTACCTGTCTGGGTTCTCAGCAGGCTGGAGGAGACTCTCCAGTCACACACCCCTGAGGGGTCAGTTCCAGATTCCAGGAGACAAGCAGTGAGCAGTTTCCCTTCAGCCTCTCATCATCTCAGCTCTCCTCCAGAACAGCTTAGGAACCAAGCCCAGGGTGCTCTGAGCATGCCCTACCAGTCTCCCTCATGCTTTCTACCTCCAGTCAGCCGTGGACCACCTCACTCATAGCCCTCTGCCTCCCTCTCAGGTCTTCCCTTCTGGGGAGCTGCTGTCTGTTCCTGCAGCTGCCTCAGCAACTCCTGGAGAGTGGTTTGTAGCCAGCACCTGCAATCGCTCAAGACGGGTCTGCCCTGAAGGCCCATCCTCACAGCAGGTGCAGGGGAGGCTGACTCCCCCATAACTCCCTGAGTTAACTGAGCCTCTGCACTCCCCTGGTTTCATTGGGTTCTGAGTAATTATGAAAGGAAGGTCTCAAGACCTTGCTGTGGAGTCTCCATTGGCTGGTGAGTTGTGAATGGGGAGGGTCTTATTGACCAGGTTCTTATTGGAGCCCTGATTTCTCCTTTGACTGAAGGCTCTGTCTCAGGAATGGCAAATATAGGATTCAGAGGCTGTCTCTCACCCCTCCTGTGCCTGAAATAGACATCACTAATGGATCTCAGCACATTCTCCTAGCTCAGTATTCCCTCCCGCACTGCACTCCTGGCAGCCACTATGACGGCGGCTGGCACTCACTGGGTGACCTCACTGGCCTTCCTCCCTGGTTGTGAGGTCCTCTGCCATATGCTGCCTGGGATCTGCCCATATGAAGGCACGATTTTTTTTCTGCCCTCAGAGACTCTATTATTTAGTTGGAAAAAAACAAGATCTATTGGGTTAAAATGATTTTTTTAAAGAACCAGACATTTGGGTTGACTAATGATTTTTTTTTTTTCTTAAGGGAAGGAAGGCCAAAGTATAGTGGGGTAACCAGGGATGACCAATACTTAATGAATGCCTGTATGAGGCAGGATAAGACCTAGATATTTCCCTAATGGTAATCGGTTAAGATAAGAATGTGGGAGACACCTTGGAAACAGCAACTGAATCACACAGACCCAGTTTAAATTTCAGTTCTACTACTTTCGAGCCACGTTATCTCCTCTTTCCCAAGTCTCAGTTTCCCTGTCTGTGAAATGGGAGCAACAATATCTGAAACATACGGCTGATGTGAGCATTAAAAAAAAAAAAAGTGCCAAATTCCTACCTGTAGCACTGGCCTCTCCCCTGAGCTCTGACTTGTAAATCCAGCTGCCCTCCGGGCCTCTGCAGGCGGGAGCCTGCAGCATCACACACTTGCCATGGCCAAAAGAGATGCCAGTCCCTCCTGAGCCTCGTCCTCCCACAACCCTTCTCCTCTCATTCAGTTTCACCACCATCCACACCCCAAACCTGAGGGTCCCTTGATCCCCCCTTTCTCACCCACATTGCCAGTGTCAGTCCACTAGTAGCCCTGCCAGTCCCAACTCCAGTGATGTCCTAAGTCCATTTGCTTCCTTCCATCTCCACCAAGGCCACCCTAGGCTCTCTGGACTTTGCAATGACCCCTCCCGCTACTGCCCCCACACCTATGCCCCATGGCCTGTTCCTCACAGAGCATCTCAAGGTAAAACAGGTCACACTACCTGCTGGCTTGGACTCCCCATGGCACTTGGAATAAAACCCAGACTCCGTTCCGTGACCTTCACAGTCCTACCGAGGTCCTACTAAGCCTCAGCCTACCTTCCAGACTAGACGTCCAGCCACACACTGCGTGAAGCACTGATTAAACAAATGCCTGCTTAACATGCATTAGTGTCCATCTTCCTTTGCTTTCTCGAAGAAAAATGAAAACATTCATATGGCACCTCAGGGTTGTCCTGATAGGGATCAGAAGTTTACCCCACCCTGTGGCCCTTCCCCACCTCTCTGATCAATGGAAAAATTAGGGTCATCGCCTCCACTGCTAGTCACCGTTTTCTACATGGGGTTTAAGCTTTGTCTTCCAACATCGTCCGTTCTTCTAAGTTCACACTGTTTCTTTCCATTGTGCACCTACGTGCCACAGAAAAAGCAGGCAAAGCAAGACCTGCGGAAGTAATGAAAACTCTTTGGTGCCCCCTTGTGGTCATGTCTAGATAGCCGGCGGAGACGGGACTGTAAGCTGCTCTGGGGTCTCTGCAGAGCGGAGCTTGAAGCTGGAAATAGAAGTCCTTTCAGGTGCCAATCTTAGAGATGTACATCCTCCACCCCCAGGAGGAGGAATCCAGGTAGAAATGCTTGACAGTCAACTTCTCTAAGTTTCAGATTCCTGATTGTTAAAATGAGTATAATCATTCTTGCCCAACCATCCAAGGAAGGGTATTGTGAAGCTATACCATGAGATCATCTGTACTTTTTCTGTTGCTTTAAAAAAAAAAAAGTATATTCCAGTACTCAATCTTCACAAATTCTACAATGTTTCTCCTGCCTCTGCACCCTTGTCTGTTCCTACGAACTTTCTGTAATCCCCAAATGAGTCAGGCAGGATGGGAGTGAGGACGTGCTTGAGATAATGTGTCTGACAAAGAGGTGCCATATGCTGCTCGGCGTCATACAAAAATGTACTGGAGAAAATGTCAGCGGCAAGACTCGGCAAGTGGTGAGGCAGAAAGTGGGGGTGCTGCCATCTCTCCCCCAGGAAGCTCGAGAGCAGACACTGGATTCTGGCATTGACAAAGGAATGGGAGGCTGGGTGAAAAGTCAATCAAGTATCTGTGATTACGAAAACTAACCCTAATCT